GTTCACATCAAAGTTGTCCTCAGGGAAAACCTCCCCGAGGCTCCATGGGTAGCGCCCACCGTTTGAGTTAGTAGCATGGGTCTGTGGGGAAAAGAACTGGAGGAGGGAGCTAGCTGTGATGCTAAGGCTGCTGCTGACTCAAGCTGGAAAGCTACCTCCACTGCTCTTGTTGTGAGCTGGTCTGTCATCATTAGCAACTTTCTCTGAGCTTCGAGCTGTTAGTGTGCTCAGCCAGCTGATCCCGTATTAGTTCATCTTCCAGCGCCCCGAATTACAGAGGCTGGCTAGTCCCCTCAGATCAGCCACGTAATGGTGGACGGCCCTCACCCGCCTGTTGCCGGCGTTGCCGAAAAACAATCCGCCGGAGCATAACATTTTGTGGAGCAGCAAAGTGTCCAGTGAGCAGTGTAACACAGTCCGCATATTTCGGAGCAGGTCCGAGAGTCCGAAAAATCCGCTGTCCCTCGCTGCCCAGCGTGTGTATCAGCAGGGCTTTCTTCCTGTCGTCGTTAGCTTCAGCTAGCCCCGCGGCTACTATGAACGTTTCGAAGGACTCAAGCCAGCGAACCCACGGAATCGGCGGTTCGCCCGGCAGTGCGAGGAACGGGGAGAGAGGTGAGAGTAGAGAATCCATAATCCTCGTCGCCAATGTTGTATATATTTAGACTATGGACTACGACATTTAGGTTGACCGTTTATTCAACACGTTATTGCACACGCTGCCATGACAACACAACAACAACCAACTGTATCCGGTTCACACATCCCCAAACTCCCAGTGCCATCTTAAAGGCACAGTCACACCTGATGTGACACATACATAACAGACCTATCATGCAAAATGCACTTTTGTACGTCTTTTATACATGAATATGTGTCCCCCGGTGTTCTAGGGAACTCACCAAGTGTCAGAAAACACAACCCTCTCTATTTTCCTCCATACCCAAATCTCTAAAAAAGGGGCTGCAACGGATCTGATAAAAACTGATCCAGATTTGAACACTGTCCTGACGTCAGGACAGTGGCGCTACGGCTATTGGGCCAACTCCACCAATCATGAGGAGACAACCACGGCATTGCCGTTCGAAAGCGCTGGAGACGTTGTAGTACATATGCCAGGCCTCTAGATGGTGCTGTTGCGCACAGAATCAACCCTTGCTAAACAGATCTAAAAAATGTCAAATTGAGCAAAATGAGGCATGGCTAAAATGCATGATCTGTTTGGTATTTTGAAAAAAAAAAAAGTATAAATATGCCTTATATAAGTATGGTCCTACACTATATTATTCAAATATAGCATGAGAGGTACACTTTAAGGAAGAAGAGAGACCATTTGACTTTAAACCAGGAAGAACAAGAGTGGTTTTGCAGTTCTAGGCGACGAAGAATAGTATTTATCATCATATGTCTGGTTTATGTTGCATGACGTTTATATTTATGTATTTGCATGGCTGCGTTCGAGTCACTTTGCAATCTCGGCGCGGCTGCTTCTCTATCAACTTTCTGGCCTTTGCCATACCCGTCATTAACTATTATATCTGATGTGCTACACAGAGGGTTGTTGCTTATTTTCATTTAACATGTATAGTGTAGTTAAAATATATAGCTTTTAATACAACACCTCAATAAAGTACACATCACATAATTAATATAACACAATGCATCAATATGCATAGATATGCATCAACACAGATTATGATTTAGATTTACACAACTTTATAGGCAACTTCAGGGCTTTTTAAACCAGCTCTTAAACACCTTAGCATTGAGCCGATTAAGCTTTGCATTCACTTTAGAGGCCATTGCTTATGGATTTGGATTGTCTTGCTTGTTTTTGATGAACAAAGTAAACAAACTAATAGGATCATTAATTACTTCATTAACATTAACATTATCAGTAATGACAAAGTAGAGTTCTCCTTCCTGGAGGAAAAATATTTTCAGGTACCCAAAGATCTGCACAGGTATCACATGGAGCAGCAGTCAAGCATAAAATACTGAGTTGAGGAACAAAGGCAAATTATAGAAAATGAGGAAGAAAGAGTGTGAAAGAGCAAGACAGAGAGAGCGAGAGAGAGAGAGAGAGAGAGAGAGAGAGAGAGGAGAGAGAGAGAGAGAGAGAGGCGAGGAGAGAGAAAGAGAAAGAGAGAGAAAGAGAGGAGAGACGAGAGCAGAGTTAGAGGTGTATGCTGAGAGAATCATTAAATAAAGGAAGATCAGTGCCCTTTAAAGAGACACTTTGACAAACACCATCAGCACTCTGCAGAGGCTCAACTGGTGAGATGGTTTCCCTTGAAGAAGAACTTGAGCTCTCCAATATATACGCAAACATTGAAGATGTTCCAGCCAGGAAAGCTGCATCCCCGCAGCTCTGTTGAAGACTTCAAGGTGCCTGCTGCAGCGCCTGGTAAGACAGAAATCCTCGACAAACAATTTGGAGCTGATTAGTTTACAATAACCTTATTTTCTAAAATTAATTTTAAATGTAAAGTTCATCATATATATATATATATATATATATATATATATACAGTATATATATATTATGATCTTTAAGTTTACATTTTTATTTTTTTTCATATATATATATATTGCATGATAATTAAAGACAAAATCAACATCTCAGTCTAAAGTGTAAGGTTTCTCAAACAGCCGCTTGTGCAAGTCAGCCTCCATAAACCTCCGTGTGTGTGCATGTTTCTGGGTTCTATACACAGGAATGAAAATGTACAGACTGGTTGTTGTGATTTTGGGACTCCTGTGTATCCTACAAGATGCTCTCATCATTTACCTAAGTAAGTCTTCTTAATTTGTGCCTCTCACTTCTGTAGCCAGTGCAAGTGATAACCGTCCCTGTTTCAATTATAATTTGTGCAAGATATGATGATCACTTGTTCTGAATGCTTTAGAAAAAAGAAAATCACTGTGTATTAGGGTGTGCAATATGACCTAACATTTTAAATATAAAAAGTTATTTACACAACTCAGGGAAATGTTATTAATATTCATTTCAACAGTATGTGTGAATGCATTTTTAATTCATTGTATTGAACATAATTGCTCTGAAATAATTATAAATCAAAACCAGCTCGGTTAATTTGTTTTAAAGTGAATACTTTCTTCAGTTGATCCAATTATCATAGTTGGTAACCTCTCCACTGAAAATAACAGTTTCACAGCAAAACTCCCTGACTGAAGAGAGAGACCAGATGAAGAGAATTAAGGGTCGTTTCTTCCTATAGTATAGGCAGACTGTGCGGATGCATAGGGTCCCCCGCGGCCACTAGGGGGTCCCCAAGCTGAAAGTTCAGGTTCAGCCCCCTCCTGTGTTCGGTGAAGCATTATATGCTTAAAAATCAAATGTAGGATATAAACACAATTAAACTGCAATGATAGCAAGCTGTGGCTTGTGTTTTTGGGGGAATAAAGTCAAAATCATCGTTGAGCTGTTACCCAATGAGTGACGTCTGAGGAAGATGAAAAATGTAAATTATACATTGTTGAGAAAATGCTGCATCTCTTGCACTTATTGACGTAGAGGAGCCTTATTGTTTACCTTTTTAATATAATTCTTTGTACGTTTAAATTGCTTAATTTTCGTGAAATTAGCCTGTTTTCCTCTTAAAGTGTAACAGATGGATGCATCAGATCATCTTAAAGGCTTCGGAATCCGCCCATTGTAGTTAAAAAACTAGGGGCCCACAAACAGCATCTTGCATAGGGCCCCCACAAAGCTAGAAACGGCCCTTGAATTAACCTTGGTAAGTATTAAGATGAAACTACTGCAATAATCAGGGGTTGATCTGAAGGGGTAAATCGTACTTAATCAGTACCAAATATCACATTAGGTAACAATATATAATATTGTATTTATCTGAGGCTTTTATCCGAAGCAACCTACAATAGGTGCAATAAACCATAAAGATACAAACATCAAGAAACTTGCATATCAGTGAGCATGCTGACTGATGCTAATCTCTGTAAAAAACTAATAGACGTCTTTGAAGTCACGTCCACACCGTAAGCGCTTCACATCCGGATAATGTTAGTTCATTTTTTTAATGTGTTACATTTACATTACTTATCTTACACATTTAAGAAGAGGAAATTATACATATGTTGTTGACAATGCCTTGGTTCTTTGTTTAGTGGCTGGAGGAGGGAACACCAATATGTTTTTCTTCACAAATAAACTTAGTTCAGTTATATACAAATATATACACTGAACTAAACATATCCTGTATTACTGATCGGTTCTGTTGAAATAATGACAGCCTCTCCATACACCAGGACTGTTTAGCAGAAAGAATTTCCTGAAAACATGATATGGTGTTGGAATAAGAAAAGGAAACATGGATCCATACATATCATTGATAGATTATAATATACAATGGGAATTCTGTTTTAGATCTGGAGGCAAAATTGAAAATGACAGTATCACAGCAAAACTCCCAGACTGAGGAGAGAGACAAGTTGAAGAGAATAAAAAAACATTTTAATATATGACTCAGGGAAAGGAATGAAACAATTACCCTTTTCAAAGCGTGTACTTCTTTTCTTTTTTTTCTTTTTTTTTACTAGAACTATAATTGTGCTTTATTTTCAACAAAGCCAGCTCAGACATTTAGTTTTTACACTCAATCATATGTTTATTTGGACACATAATCACATTTTGTTGGTAACCTCTTTAATAAAATTGAAAATTAAGTTTCAGAGCAAAACTCCCTGACTGAAGAGCGAGACGAGTTGAAGAGAATCAACCTTGGTAAGTTATTGAGATGAGACTTCTGCAATAATCAGGGGTTTGATCTGAAGGGGTATATCGTACTTAATCAGTACTAAATATCACATTAGGTTACATATATTATATTTTATTATCTGAGGCTTTTATCCAAAGCAACATACAATAAGTGCAATAAACCATAAAGATACAAACTCAGAACATCAAGAAACATGCAGATCAGTCAGCATGCTAACTGACGGGCAACCAGCTAGTCAGTTAGCATGCTAATCACGGTAATTTCTGTAGAAATCTCTGGAACACGTAAACCTCTTTGAAGACACGTCAACACTTTAGGCTCTTCACATTCTGTTGATAATGATAGTTCATTAGTTTATGTTTTTAATATAAATTCTGGCTTATTTACAACATTTAAGAAGAGGAAATGAAACAGATGTTGTTGAAAAACGCCTTGGCTCTTTGTTTTGTGGCTGTAACACAATATTATTTTCTTCACAAATATACTTAACTGAACTAAACATACAATATACCGTAATACTTATCTGGTCCATTCAACAGGACTGTTTAGCAGAATGAATTTCCTGAAAACATGATATGGTGTTAGATTAAGAAAAGGAAACAAAGACCCATACATTATCATTGATAGATGAACATAATAGACATTGGGAATTCTGTTTTAGATCTGGAGGCCAGCGGCACAAAAACCTGACTGAGGAGAGAGATGACCTGAAGAGAACTGTGAAGGACTATGGTAGGTACAATGATAAAGTCAATTGTTGAAGTGAAATAGACACTTGAGCTTTGGACTCCTGTATTTTCTACAAGCTGCTCTCAATGTTTCCCTCTGTTTTGCTCTTTTAAAATCTTCTTAATTTGTGCCTCTCACTTCTGGTGCAAATGGTCAACACCCAGGTTTGAGTATCAAACTCTAGTTGCCCTGATTGCTTTTGAGAAACGTAATCCCTGTACATCGGGGGTATACATACAATAGGATCAGAAATACAAAATGACATTTTTTAATATGACTCAGGGAAAGGAATGAAATAATTCCCCTTTTCAAAGCGTGAACTTGTTTCTTTTTTTCTTCTTTTTTTACTGAACTATAATTTGTGCTTTATTTTCAACAAAGCCAGCTCAGACATTTAGTGTTTACACTCAATCATATGTTTATTTGGACACATACTCAGATTTTGTTGGTAACCTCTTCACTAAAATTGAAGTTTCAGAGCAAAACTCCCTGACTGAAGAGCGAGACAAGTTGAAGAGAATCAACCTTGGTAGTATTGAGATGAAAGATAAGATAAGATAAGATAAGACTTTATTAATCCCGAAGGAAATTGTTGTGCCAGAGTTACAAAAATACAATAAACACAGCAGCATAATAGTAAAACTGTACACTTAAAAGTGCAGTAAAAAGAGCAATTAAATATCTACAGGAACATGAAACATGAGACGGTCACATAATTAATGTAATTATTACCAGGTCTTTAGTAGTGCAAAACTACTGCAATAATCAGGGGTTTGATCTGAGGGGTATATCTACCTAATCGGTACTGAATAATCACATTAGGTAACAAATATATATTTTATTATCTGAGGCTTTTATCCAAAGCAACCTACAATAGGTTGCAATAAACCATAAAGATACAAAACTCAGAACATCAAGAAACATGCATGCTGACCGACGGGCAGCGGCTAGTTAGCATGCTTATCTCTGCAGAACACATATAGATGTTTTTGAAGTTACGTCAACTCGTAAGCTCTTCACATTCTGTTGATAATGATAGTTCATTTTTTTTACGTTTTAAATTTAAATTGACTTATCTTACACATTTAAACAGAGGATATGATACAGCTGTTGTTGATAACGGTGATCACAATATTTATTTTCTTCACAAATATACGTAACTGAACTAAACATATCCTGTATTACTGATATGGTTCTGTTGAAAATAATGACAGCCTCTCCATTCAACAGGACAGTTTAGCAGAATGAATTTCCTGAAAACATGATATGGTGTTGGAATAAGAAAAGGAAACATGGATCCATACATTATCATTGATAGATTAACATAATATACAATGGGAATTCTGTTTTAGATCTGGAGGCAAAATGGAAAATGACAGTTTCACTGCAAAACTCCTTGACTGAAGACATTACATTACATTGCATTTAGCTGACGCTTTTATCCAAAGCGACTTACAATAAGTGCAGAGAGAGACAAGTTGACAAGTTGAAGAGAATCAACCTTGGTAAGTATTAAGATGAAACTACTGCAATAATCAGGTTTTTGATCGGAAGGTGTATAAGGTATACTACATTGGTGGTGTATATGAAAGAAATAAAGGTGTACTTTCTCAGGCAGAACACTGAAGTGACAAAAGAAAACACGATATGAACAACCCCAAGTGGTCAGAAAATTCATAAATGGTGTATCTTTGCTCATCGACCCTCTGGGAAATCATTTCAGGTTTGTCATTGATAACACCTCAGCTCTTTTGTAGCTGTAAGAGGGAATACAGTCATTTTTTCATGCTAAATTTAAACAAAAGTTAACAAATCAAACTATACTAACCTGATTCTTTTGAAAATAATAACTTCTCACTCAAAATTAGAGCTTTCAGCAAAGTTCCCTAAAAGCTTTTATTCAGTATTAAAAGGAAACAAACATCACAATAGCATTTCTGTTTCAGAAATGGTGGCAACTAACAAAACCTGTCTGAGGAAAGAGACGATCTGGGGAGGACTCTGAGAGCCGGGGGGTAAGTATGAAAATGAAATCAATTGTTCAGCCGGTGGGCCTTTATGTCATACGGTAGATACCACCTTGGCACTGACATAGTAGATTAAGCATCTGGTAATTTATGTATTAAGGTTTTATCGTTCTTTCTGTTTTCCACTATTCTTATCAAGGATGGAAGTACTTCAGCGGTAGTCTCTATACCATTTCTCCTATCCAGAAAAACTGGCAAGAGAGTAGGGATGACTTGTCTTCAAAAAGGAGCAGATCTGGTGATTATCAACAGCAGAGAAGAAGAGGTGTGTGTGTGTGTGTGTGTGTGTGTGTGTGTGTGTGTGTGTGTGTGTGTGTGTGTGTGTGTGTGTGTATGTGTATGTGTGTGTGTGTGTGTGTGTGTGTGTGTGTGTGTGTGTGTGTGTGTGTGTGTGTGGTTTGTGTGTCACAGAAGTGGTTGACAGCATGTCTCGGTTTATATAGTGGTTGTGATTGTGCGTTTTTCTCTCCACAACAAGGACTACATATTAAGTTTTCGTATGAAGGTGTGGATTGGACTCACTGATCGAGAGACAGAGGGCAGATGGAAGTGGGTCGATGGGACTCCGCTGACCACAAGGTTCACTCATTATTTCACTTTTCTATTGTCAAGGTGCACTGTGACAGACACTCGCTCTGCAGCTTCATGTCATAATTATGTTATTTTCACATTAAATGATTTGTATATTAGTAGCCTACCAACCTCTCTGACCACAACTACATGTTGTGATGTCCTTTAAAAGCTTATTTCATGTCAGATAACAAACCAGACATAGGATAGACATTTATTATTCTATCTCTATCAATAATAAAGCATTTTTGATTTGAGTTGATGTCAGGTTGAAATGTATTATTATTATTTTTCCTTTGGGGGTTTCAGGCTACTGGTACCCCGGTGAGCCAAATGGAACTTTGAAGCTGGACGAAGACTGTGCACAAATATATTACAGTGATGCAAGAATAAGCTGGACAGATAGCCATTGCAGTTATAATACAAATCGACTGGATATGTGAGAAGAGATTGGCATAACTCCCACATCTAGTCCCACAAAACGATGATGAAAAAACAGGAACAAGTTGCATTTCTCATTTTTCAGCCTAAATTCAAATTTGGAGGTCAAGGGTGGCGAGGGGTTGGACTCTCACGTAGATATCTGGAGTCACGTCATGTCTCATATATAGGATTAATGTTCACTTGTTTAAACTGTAATTGCAATTCCTAAAAGTGTCTTTTCTCTGCTTTTGAGATTATAATATTGGCTGCCTGCTTTTAGATTTTCTTATTTCAATCATGCCAACTTGAAATCATGTCCTAGTTTTGTGTCTTAGAGATGTAATGATTTTATTTTATTTTCAAAACAAAGTCTGAGTTTTCCGATGAATCCCTCACTATAAAATAGACTGATCTGCATTTGACAAACAGGTCACACCATTGTTGTGTTTTTTTGTAAGGCATATGAGAAATTAATGTTGCAACATTTATTTTCACCAAGAGGACTTGGCTCTTCTCCAAGTCTTGTTGATGAAGAGCGGTTCTCAAAGTATAGAGGGAAGTGCAATTTTGTATGGATGGATGCTTTCCTATTTTTATTTCATTTAAAAAAGAATTCAGAGTTTGTGAAGGTGGTCAAACTGTAAGTGATATTTTTAAAAATTGTCAAACTAATAAGTACAGAGACAACCAGTTCAGGTGCAAATAAATAAGGGTAGAATATAGTCAATCAGATCTTTTGCATTATGTGTCACTGATAAACAACAATAATGATGATTTTATTTGGACGTAAAAATAAATGTGTGAATTGTGAATAAAAGTCCAAATTACACAAAGTACAGAAGAATCAATACGTCAAAGCTGCAGCAGAGGTTGTAACAGCAAGCGAGTTGTGAACATTAAGGAAGAAGAGAGACCATTTGACTTCAAACCAGGAAGAACAAGAGTGGTTTTGCAGTTTTAGGCGGCAAATAATAGTATTTATTATCATATGCATATGTCTGGTTAATGTTGCATAATGTTTATATTTATGTAAGTGCATGGCCGCGTTCGAGTCACTTTGCAATCTCGGCGCGGCTGCTTCTGTCAACTTTCTTTTCCATACCCGTCATTAACTATAATATAACTATGCCTTAGTGTGAACTACTAAGGTTTCACCTTGAAAGGAGATGTTCTGATCTCAACAGGACTTACCTGGTTAAATGTAGGTTTACAAAAATAACAAAATAACAATAATAGTGTGTGTATTATGTTATAATGCAGTTTTAAAAATGTGTTAACATGATGTTCAATTTAAATGTAATTCATTTGATTGGGACAAACCCCTTTGTAATAAAACAAATACAGACAGAGAGTTGTTGCTTATTTTCATTTTACAGGTATAGTGTAGTTAAAATATATAGCTTTTAATACAACACCGCAATAAAGTACACATCACATAATTAATATAACACAATGCATCAATATGCATAGATATGCATCAACTCAGATTATGATTTAGACTTACACAACTTTACAGCAACTTCAGAGTTTTTTAAACCAGCTCTTAAACACCTTAGCATTGAGCCGATTAGGCTTTGCATTCACTTTAGAGGCCATTGCTTATGGATTTTGATTGGCTTGCTTGTTTTTTGATGAACAAAGTAAACAAACTAATGTGATCATTAATTACCTAATTAACATTAACATGATCAGTAATGACAAAGTAGAGTTTTCCTTCCTGGAGGAAAATTAATTAATATCCCTTTCAACATGTGTGTTCAGAGTACATATTTGTAATTCTTTGTATTGAACAATACATTCTTTGAAATACTGTAATTCTAATCAAAACCAGCTCAGTTAATTTGTTTTAAAGTGAATAATTTCTTCAGTTGATTACATCATCAAATGTTGTATGTAACCTCTCCACTGAAAATGACAGTTTCACAGCAAAACTCCCTGACTGAAGAGAGAGACGAGATGAAGAGAATCTACCTCGGTAAGTTTGATGATGATAATCTCCCAGTTAAATCCTGTGCAGCAAGAAGGGACTGCAGAGGAAGAGCTAATAAATGACAAGCTGTACTGTAAGAGGAAACACGATTTGTTTCTTCACAAATATATCTAACTGAACTAAACATATACTGTATTACAGTTTATTTCAATTGCTAAAACACATTTTTTGACAACAGCGCTCATTTTGTCAAAACACTAAACACAATTCACAAAATCACAGACCCAAAGTGCACAACACCTCATATCTTGCAAAATGAATCACTGCACCCAAAACTACATAAACACTTTTGCACCAAATGGCACACACTTCATTTACAGTTTTTTTAGTTGCTAACACACTAGAATTAGACATAAAGCACAATAATTTAATCTAACACTCAAAGAGCAAAACCTGAGCTCAAATCTCCAAATATCTAAACACATTTTTAGCTCTGGCACCCAATTTGCAATTCAACTTGGCATTCTTTTGCAAAAACACTGCACACAGTTCTCCAAGTAAGACACAGAAATCTGACATGTTCACTTGTTTGCCATTTTCAAAACACTGCCATTGAAAATGCTACACACATGAACCAATCAACAAATACACATGCCAAATGACCATAAACACCAAACTGCTTTGTTGGTGACTCAGCAATCAGTTTGTAAGCACTAGAAAAAGGCTTCATGTAAGAACTTTTTACAACAACAATGGATAAATGGATAGCAGCAAGAGGAAGAGAGAGAGGGAGGATGAATTGAAGTCATTTGAAGAGTTATTTGCAGCATATTGGTTGAAGGTGTATGACCGTCAGGCCTCTATAGGTGATGCTTCTTCTGCAGGTTGATGAGGAGCTGTGGCCAGACCCAGCTAAGTGGTGATATTTCTGTTTTTTGTATTTATTTTTCCTCAAAGTATGCAGAATGGGAACATGTCACAGTGGACGCACAAAATACAAATATGAATCAGAAAGTTTGAATAATATGTCCTCTTTAAATATTATTTGATTACTGTATGTTTCTCTTTGAAAACAAGGATTTCACAAGACAATACAAAAATATAATGTGGATTGGACTGACGGACAGAGACACAGAGGGAGAACCCAACAATTATCAGAAGAGAAATGAAGACTGTGTGAATATAAACCACTACCAAAACAGCTGGAATGATGAAGTATGTGAAAATGAAAATGTCTGGATCTGCGAAAAGAAAATGTAAGGAAAATAGTATTTCTTCTTAACATTGTGAAATTTTGCTTCAATAAAAAGAACAAAATCATCCTCGCTTTAGACGTTTCCATGTGTTTTGTGTAGTTCTTACATGAAGCCTTTTTCTAGCTTACATCCTAGTTGATGAGTCAACAATGAAGCAGTTTGGTGTTTACCGTCATTTGGCATATGTATTTTTGGTTCGTGTGTGTAGCATCTTTAATGTCAGTGTTTTGAAAATGGCAACAAGTGAATATGTCAGATTTCTGTGTCTTACTTAGAGAACCGTGTGCAAGTTGAATTG